ACCACCGATACAATTCACACACCATTTATACAATTTTTATTCAAACATTTTTACAAATATTTCTAATAATGAAATGCAAACTCAATATTTTCATTTTAAAACATTTATTAAGTTACAAAAGTTTACTTTAAATGAGTGTACAATTAATTTAATATTTAGTACATTTAATTGACATTACATTTAATTAAGTAGTTTTCATTAAATGAATTCAATACAACTATTAATACAAACACTGACGATACAAAAGTTGTAAAAGTTTAGTTATATTTTAATTCAAACAATAAATTGTTGTTATATTAGTAATTACAATTAATTTGCAGACAATTATAAATATTACATTAAAACAACGCTATAATGGCTGTGATTGATGTGAATGTTTATATTTAGCAGTATATTAAAAGTGTGGTTATCTATGAAATTATATTAAAGTCAAAATCAAAGCATATTTTGTGACAATTAAATAATGCAATGAAAGAAATACAAATAATTTTCAATTAAAACTGCTTATCTAATATCTAACTTTGAGAGCATATATTATATTATTAATTACAATTAAAAGTTACAAATACCCGGATAATTAACCACGAGCTGCAGTGCATTTTGCCGTAAATTTAATAAATTTGGGGCAATTTTTGCGCAAATTGTTGACAACAGTTTCCGTCGGTTTATTCTTAATGTCCATAAAAATGGTTTTAATATGTGTTAAATTTGACAATAAATTCAATTCATTTTGCGTTAGTCTAAAACTATTAGTGATTATTAAGTGCCGTAAGTTTGGAAACTTCTCGCATATTATAGAAAAAAATTCCTGTTGTTTAATAATTGGATGAAATCTGAGCGATAAATGAGTTATAAATGGGAATTCATCTAACGATTGACTGATTGCTATATCATCGGCAAAATTGCCGCAAATTGTCAAACGTTTTAATTGTTTAAAGTATTGATTAATTGTTTCCAATAATTGGTTAAAAATATCGGTCTCATAATTGTTTACAGCGAGTGATAGTCTCTTAAGTTTCGGACAATTAATACCGATTTGTTTCAAATGTTTTGTTACAAAACTATTTCCAGTGATTAAGTGGGTTTCGTCAAAAAGATATTTTTGAATACCTATTGACAAATTAATCAATGGTTTAATTTTCAACAAACCATTTGTCAATATTTGCATTGAATTGTCGTCACATTTGCCCCAATAAAGAGTCACATCAAGTGATTTCAAACTATTTTTATGCTTTTCAACAAAAATATTGTAATTATCGATACATTCATTAGTGAAACAAATATTAGTTTTCTGTAGTTTTGGGAACAGATTTTGATTACCACTGAAAAAATCCAATGAATCTCTTGTATTGAAAAAGAAAGACAAATCAATTTGTGTTAAATTATTGCATAATTTCACATTTCTTTGCAAATTCTTGGCATCGATTTCAAATCCAATTGATTTCAATTGTTTGCCTAACTTTGCAAACAATTTATTAAAATTATGCACTTTTGCGGCATTAAAACAACGGGTTTCGACACAAATGTCATTCAAATGATTGCAATGTTTTAAAAGTAATTCATATTTTGTTTTAGTCAATGGATTGTAATAATCACTGAAAATAATGTTTTCAATGTTTACACACTTTTTCACAATTAATTCATACATTTTTGCACTAATTTTTCGGTCAAAATCAAAGCCAGAAAAGTCTGTTTGTGTCGTGAATACCAATCGCTGCCATTGTTTGGACAGACATTCATATCTGAATCGGTCTTCAAATGAGAGATAAGACAATAAGTGTTGACACAAATCATCACCAAATCTATCGAAACTGTCTTTCGATGTCTTCATCACTGAATCACTTCCAGAATATATTCTTCTAGTGTTTGTGTCACTTCTCAAAGTCTTTCTTCCGGTGTTTTGATTACTCTTTGAACTAATTCTTCTGGTGTTAGTATCAGTTCGTGAAGACATTGTCGCGGGATTTGCATTCCTTCTTAAGGACATTCTTCTGGCGTTTGTGTCACTCCTGAGACCAACTCTTGTCTTATTTGCAGACATTGTTTGATATATTGATTGCAATATTCAATGAAAACAAAATTATTTCATAAAATGATCACAAAATCAATTGATATTCACTTAAGACTAAAATGTGTTAACATTTCTATGGATTGTGAAATAAATGAAACATTGATTTCAAACAAAGTGTTAATAAAAGCAATCATTAATTGATTTGAAGTTTAATTCAAATGAAAAACAATTTAGAAATCAATTAATCGTTGAATTGAAAGATAACTGTAAACACAAAAAGTGCACAAAATATCGATCGGTCTCTCTATTCATGCCATAAATAACGTGTCATTCAATTGTTGTTATTTTACATTATTTAACAATTTATAAATTCAGTTGTCATTAATTTATAGTATATTCTTGTATTTATTGTTCAATATTATTAATTTCAATTCAAAACACTATATAATCTAAACTCGTTTCAGTCATAACATCATTGAATCAAAATGCGATTCAAATACAGACAATAATTTTGTGGCCAAAACTTTTGTTTCAATTATTCTTTATTTTCAGCAAAAAACTTAATAATTTACTTAAAAATTAATTCAATCATAAAAATGAACTAAAATTAAGTTTTGAGTCATAGATATAATTAAAACAATATTTATAATTACGACTACATTTATCATTCAATGCAACCAATCATCGCATGTAATAATAAATTGATATGAAATTCAAAATTCGCATATTTTAATGCAAACAATAATTACAGTGCATTTACATAATATTATAATTAATTAAAACATACAGCAATTCATTGTAATAAACACATAGGGCTTATATTATAGGCTATAGTCCTTAAAAAGCCGTCGCTGAAAAGCTTTTGGTCTCAAATTTGATAAATTTGGGACATTTTTTGCGCAAATTCTTGATAACAGGTTCTAATAAATGTTGATTCCTGGCATGCATTACAATGGTTTCAATGTGTGTTAAATTTGACAATAAATTCAATTCACTTTCCGGTAGTTTCGAGTAATTGGCGATCGATAAGTGCCGTAAGTTTGGAAACTTCTCGCAAATTACGGCCAAATATTTCTCGTCGTTTACAAACTGACGAGAAGTGAGTGTTAAGTGTGTTATAAATGGCAATGCATTGAACGATGCGCTCATTGAGACGTTTCCCTGACTGTAGGCATACATAGGGACACACATTCGGGGCACAACTCCCGGCACTTTATTCAACGGCACGTTTGGCACATCATTACGAAAATATCCGCCAATTTTCAGACGTTTTAGTTGTTTAAAGTGTTGATTAATTGTTTGCATTAATGCATCAAAAGTTTTATTTCCAAAGTTCACGAAACAAAGCGATAGACTCTTCAGTTTTGGACAATTAATACCGATTTGTGTGAAATGTTTTGTAAGCATTGAATTCGGTTTCGCAGACGAAAAATCATAATACAGTGACAAATGTGTCAATTGTTTGAGTTGTGACAAACCATTCATTAATATTTGCATTGAATTCTCGTTGCATTCACTCTTATAGACCGACACTCGAAGTGATTTCAAACTATTTTTATACTTTTGAAAAGTGATGACAGAATCCATACAATGATCACCCATTAAAAGGTTAGTTTTTTGCAGTTTTGGGAACAGATGTTGATTACCACCCAAAAAGTCTAATGACACGGAATCCACAGTAATATGTGTTAGATTTGCACATAATTTCACATTTCTTTGCAAATTCTTTGCGCTTAAATCAAATTCAATTGCTTTTAATTTTTGGCCAAACTTTGCAAACAATTTATCAAAATTATGAACTCTTTTGGGATTTCTGTCATCGCATTGAATATAAATGCCATTCAAATGATTGCAATATTTTAAAAGTAATTCATATTTAGTTTTAGTCATTGGATTGTTATAATAATTGAATCTAATTTTTTCAATGTTTTCACACTTTTTCACAATTGATTCAAACATTTTGGCAGTAATTTGTCGGTAAGAATCAAAGCGATAAAAGTCTGTTTGAGTAGTGAATACCAATCGCTGCCATTGTTTGGACAGACATTCATATCTGAATCGGTCTTTAGATGAGAGATAAGACAATAAGTGTTGACACAAATCATCACCAAATCTATCGAAACTGTCTTTCGATGTCTTCATCACTGAATCACTTCTCGAAGCCTTTTCTCCTGTATTTGGTTTACATATCGATAATATTCTTCCGGTGTTTTCGCTCTTCTTTGAAGTGATTCTTCTGGTGTTTGTTTCACTTCTTGAAGAGATATTTCTTCTGTTTGTGTCACTCCTGAGACCAACTCTTGTCTTATTTGCAGACATTGTTTGATATATTGATTGCAATTAATTCAATGAAAACAAAAATATTTCATAAAGTGATCACAAAATCAATTGATATTCACTTAAGACTAAAATGTGTTAACAATTGAGAGAATTGTGTAATAAATGAAACATTGATTTCAAACAAAGTGTTAATAAAAGCAATCATTAATTCATTTGAAGTTTAATTCAAAGAAAAAAAATTAGAAATCAATTTATGATTGAATTGAAAGACAACTGAAAACACAAAAAGCGTTCAAAAAAGCGCACAAAATAGATTCAACGGTCTATCTATTCGTAACATAAATAACGTGTTATTTCATAGCATTTGAAATTCATTTGACAATTTATAAATCCAGTTGTCATTAATTCAAATGTATATAACATTCATTACTTTTAATTCCCAGTACTGTATAATCCAAACCGTGTTCAGTGAAACACATCACTGAATCAAAATGTGACTCAAATATATACAACAATTTTGTGATCAAAACTTTTGTTTCAATTATCTATTTTCAACAAAAAACATAATAATTTGCATAAAAATTAATTCAATTTATTTAATCAAAATATTATCAATTGTACTAAAATTAAACTTAAGATTTGATTGATTGAAACAATCTATAATTACGATTACAATTATATAACCGCACAATAAGACGACATTTCATTCATCAAAAATACTAACAAAATATTTCAATCAATGTTTATAACAATCAGAAAACTTGTATTTGAGTTATAAAAAGGTATACAAATTATTATTAAAACAGTATTTAAATTCTTCCCAATCCTTTCAATTTGGTCAACAAGTCGTCCACTGACTCCACTTTGGCTCCGGACTCGCGTTTTGGCGGCTCTTCAACCGACAGTATCTCAATACGAGGGCTCACATCGACGCCCAGATCCGACGGCTTCTTCTTGTCGATGGCCTTCTTCTTCGCTTTCTATACAATTCAAACAAATAGTATTTCGCATCAAAATCAACACAAATGTCAATCAATCAAAACTGAAGGTCAGACACAACAACAACAACAACCAAAAACACCGACCATTATATTGGGAAGCGTTGCATAACGGGGTTCGTTGAGGCGAAGGTCGGCGCTGACGACCGCCGGTGTCTTGCATTTGATGGTCTCGAGTCCGCCGTCCACTTCGCGAGTGACAGTCACACTGCCGGCGCCGTCCGGTTCCACTTTGGACGCGTTGGTCGCCTGCGGCCAACCCAAGAACGCCGCCGTCATCTGTGCGGTAGAGTTGCTGTCGTCATCGATGGCCTGTTTGCCGACAATCACCAGATCTATCTTCTCGTCGGCCGCGAGTTTGGCCAATATCTTCGACACGTGTATCGGTTGCAGCGTTTGATAGGTCTTGTCGTCCACTTCCACATGAATGGCTCGATCGGCGCCCATCGCCAGCGCCGTCCGCAGCGTCTCCTGACACGCCTGCGGACCGATACTCACGGCACAGATATCTGCGGCCAACTTCTTCTCCTTCAGCCGTACGGCCTCTTCGACGGCGATCTCGTCGAAAGGGTTGAGCGAATGCTTGATCCCATCGGTGATCACTCCCTTCTTATCGGGTTTGACACGAATCTGTCGGCCATTCAAAGAGAAAGGAGATCATTAAATACAACCAATCATCGCATGTAATAATCAATTCAATGACAGATAATCAGCGGCTAAGACAACTGATCCCAACACAAGCCATACCCGGACGGCGTAATCGATGACTCTTTTGCAACCGACGAGTATTCTTAGGGAACCCATGAGTGGTGTTGTGTTGGATGTGTTGTTAGCGAGTAGTTTGTACTCAGATATGCACTCAATAACTGATCCCAAAGACAGATCTTTTTGGTGATAATTGTTGGACTTTTAAACCAAAACACTTTATGGGCTCTTCATATATAACGTGCACTTCATATGTGAGGGCAGAGAGACATCAAAAAAGTTTTATATTTACATAACATTAACTTTAAACTAATTACATCAACGTCCATGATCAATTGGTAAAATGTATTAGTAACTTGAATAACTATTTAAATATTAAAAATAGTTACCAATATGCTAATTAATGAATTTAATTAAAACTTTAAGGTAAACGTAATTCATATAATTTACTTTAAAATGTGGTCCCATTTGACACACAATAACGTATGGGTTATGCGTATAGAAAAAGGACCAAAACATACATAACTGTATTGAAAGCCAATCACAATATTAGGTCATTGTTGTCGTCAATGTCTTCGTCACAGCAAATACCTCTTGAACTCAAACTTTTTCAAACATTTCCTAACCATTCATACCATCGGATGATCACTGAAGGCAAAGACAACACATCCCACACAACCACTCATACACTCGTATAGACTGACAGCGACGACACCAGAGTTCGTCACCACAGCTGATCACTACAGCTCTCTATCAGCACCACATCCAGTGATTACATCACTGCAAACACTGTCCACAACAACACCACTTCCAGAGGTCGCCGAAGAATATGTTCGGAAGAGTCACTTTCTATCCGACACTTCTCTACAATGTCTTCATGAATAGAGTGTCCACAAGAAGATGGTTCGACAGAATCGACGACAACTGCCTGTTGGGAGCGCTTCCCTTCCGGAGCATCACTCCAGAGGTCTGTGTCCGCCACTACTCATACCTCGCCGTATGAATAGCTTGATCTCAACTCTTGTATTATCTCCCGAAACAGCTGATCGCCGACGAGAAGGTGAAGGGCGTGGTGTCGATGAACGAGAACTTTGAGCTCAAATTCTGGGTCACCACTCCGGAGGAATGGCAACGACTGGGCGTCAAGTTTTTGCAGTTAAATACGGCCGACATATTTCACGCGCCCACTCAGGACAAGATCCGCACTGGTGTGCAGTTTATGCAACAGTTTATGGGCACCGATAGCTCGGTGTACGTCCACTGTAAGGCCGGCCGCACCCGTTCCGCCACTCTTGTCGCCTGTTATCTCATGAAAGTAAGCGTTTTGTTGTACACAAGAGTTCTTTGTTCTATCACTTGATCCGATCGTACGAATGATAATAACTTTTTTGTCTGTCTTTAGAAACACAATTGGGAACCAAAAGAGGCCGTGGATTACATGAAATCCAAGAGACCGCACATTCTTCTGCGGTCCACACAATGGGAAGCGATCGGCAGATACTATGAGGAAAACTGTGCCAATAATAATACTAAACAACAGCCGGACGTCAATCTAACATAAACTATGCCTTCATTTAGACACTAATTTTTCATATAAATAAGTTTTAAGTTAATTAATGTTTTTCCTTATGAATAGAATTTATTTTAAGTTTTTTATTAATATTTTGGATGATTTGTTAATTTTCCTCATTATTTGCCAAACAATTATTACTCAATAGATCTGTTTTTGGAGAGTTTCCTAATACCTATTCACTGTATTTTGTCATTCAGTGAATTAATTGCTTTGAATTTTAATTAAGTTATTTATAGATGTAATCCGTTTTCCTTTGCATTCATTGTTACCAATGATTATAGAATTAAATCTATTTTAAGTGTTGTTTTATACGCAAAATTGAAATCATATTTTTAAATAAACGTTAGACTAATTGCAGTATTCAATCATTTTGTGAGCAAATATTATACTCGTTATAGTGAACGCAAATCTATATTAAGTTATCATAAAATTTATTATCACAACTGAAGTGTATTTAAACGTATTTATGGGAAAATGACGGTTAAATCCAAAGAGTAAATCCAATTAAATAATTTTATTCACATTTTAAATGTACACTAAATCGTAACACAGGAACCAATGCCTTAAAAGTAAAACAAAATACTGTTTAAGACAAAAATGCCGTACATTTGGGATAAATACTGTAGTAATCGCTAAAAACTAAAAACAATTTCATTTGTGATAATTAAAAGCCTATAAATGTTTAATCGAGGGCTAGTTTTCGGGGGCCGACAACTGATTCACATCTTAGCGGCCATACGTATGGCCACACCTAAGCCCACGTCCGTGTAGTTGAAGTAGAAAAGTCCGGCCAACGCCGCGATGGACAGCATGTATACGTAGGCCACCATTACTTTGGGTATAAAAGCGCCGAAGATCGACGGCCGGATGTAGTCCACGACAATGGCCTCCAGACCCCAGTGGATGTGCGCCACGAGTGAGAGGGCCAGCAGGTAGTCGAGCGCCGGATTCGGTACGACCAGAGCGGCCGGTATTACGCCCAACAGTGCCATCGAGACGTACCGCTCGATTGACCAGAGTTTTGCGTGACTGTGACTCTGGGCCGCCGATGACGACCATCTGGTGGACAGTTGTTGTGGTGACTGTTGTAACGATCGGGCGATAAGAGCTGTTGTCGTCGATTCGCCGCTCTTCGGCCGGTTCTGGACGGACAGCGGACTCGCCATCGGCTTCGCGGCCATACATCGGACCGAATGGAGTGATAATTGTCTCGCAATCAATGGATTACAGCCTAAAAAGTGGTGAAAACAAAAAGTGAATGAAAAGTGAAGTGTTTTTCGGTTTGCAATCAATTGATCCAAAGGTCTGCTCCGCAAATGTCTTCATTTTCTTACCATTTTTGGCCACAAAACGCATTAAAGACAATGAATTCATGTTTTAATTAATTATTAAATTAATTGTAAATTTATTTCACAATTAAAACACGGTTTCAATAAAACACTTGAAATTTACAACTGATAAACATTTAGATAACGTTCGAAAACAACGTTACTCATGAAAGGGGTGTAGCGTTTTTGGGGACATACAATTGCTATTACATTAAATTTAAAATTAATTTTCATGCCCCCTATCGCTCCCCGATTTTGGTTACGTTATATACGAATAGAGCATTAAAGTGCTTATCGATAATCTAATACCTTTGGCCATGAATTAGACGTTCGGTCTATTGCTATAAAACGTACCAATTGTTCAAAAATCAATGAAAGTACAGATTATGCGAAATTGTTGTAGAATTTATGGCGCATTGAAAACGCATAGAACTCAATACGTTTGGCATCAATGATGAGTTCAACAGAAAATACACGCAAAACAAACTCCAATTCACAAGCGATCACAAAAAGAGTGTAATAATGAAAAGTAAATGACATTTGAATGCAAAACATAAACACAAAAACCATTTCAATAGCAAAACAAACACTCATTTAATTGGCATTTAATTTGACACAACATTTGCCGATCGGATACACAAAGTCTTCGGCCGATACACACACGTGAAAGCGGATCAGTTGCGAGACATACCATACCATCAGCTCAAGAGGAATGGCCGGCTGTTTGGACAACATTCAGATCAGACGTCCGGAATGGCTAGAGTTGGGAGAGAAGAGGAATGCCATCGCATCCATCGCCGCCGGAACCGCTGTATGTGATCGTCAATAGGGCCAGCGATGGCCACCGAATGAAGTGTCACCACTAACTGATCCGTTATATTCATTATAGTTCTTCACCGGTTGGTGGATAATCATTGACATATCGGCCCGATATACAGATGGCAACGACTTTTACAACGCTTTCCACGTGTGCGGCGTTTTGGGCACTCTTTCGCTGTTTATGTGATTATCTTATGATCTGATCCACTCATTGACCGCATACTCACCGCTTATAATGAACTCCAGATGTGTATGAATAGTGTACGAGTGGTTTGTTGTTAATGACAAACCCATATGTTTTTTTGCTCAAAACTTATTATTAATTAATGATTTACTAATCATTATATGTTAAGTACACTATTCATGCAAACAATTGTTCACTATAGCGAGCATTTGTGCGATATATTAAGTGTTTTATAAAAATAAACGAATGTTTGTGAACGTGGATTAGGATTAACGCCGTATCCAATGGTCACATTCGGGGCGACGCCTACACGAGCGGTGTGTTCGGTCAGACGGCGGCCAGAATATGGCTGTTCATAGGGTTTGTGTTGGGCTTCGGGTCAGTGATCGCCGCCATTTGGATACTGTTTGGCGTATATGTGATCCCAGCGGACAACAAGAAGGTCTATCCAGGGATTGGTATCTTTTTTCAGAACGCCCTCATATTTGCCGGGTATGTGTCGTACGGCCTAACCATCCCTTTCCACTTCCCATACCTATCCCTCTCATGTCTTGAATTTTTATTAAATGTTTGTTAATTGAAATGATTTTGTCTTTCATTTGTTGTTCAGTTCATTGATATTCAAATTTGGGCGAACAGAAGACCTGTGGAACTGATCTGCGGTGACATCTTTTAAATAGAGCCAATTGTCTGTTTCCCTCCCTCACCCCTCCCCTCCTTTCCCTTAACTTTTTTTAATGCAATACTTATTTTCAAAACTAAATTAATCTCAATTATAGATCTATTATTAACTTTATTGCAAGTAATGCTTATTTCATAAGTTTTTTGTGACATTTTTGGACACTTTTTACTGTATTTTTTGTTCCCTTTCTGGACATTTAATTTAATTAAAAAATAATCTCATGTTTTTTATTATAAATGTCTTATAATTACTAATTTATTTTATGAATAAAAAATGCGTGAGTTTTAGATTAATTATAATTACTTTTTATTTAATGCTTTCAATAAATGAGACTTTTTATACAAATGATTAAATGAATAAATATAATAATAACTTAAAACTAATCGCGATTTAAAGTTATTTAAGTTTTATATAAAATAAATGCCATGAATTCTAACAACTATTGTATAGGTTTGTAGTTTTACATGAAAATTAGTTGAGAGGTTTGTAATTTCTTCACGAAAATAACTTTATCAATAAAACAGTTATCACCGAAATGTATGCCATTTGGTTATCAACTGCGGGAACAATTGTCGACGATTGGGATTTTGGTGACAGTCGGTGCTGATGGCCCGAGTGCTCTGATAGCACAAGCATAGAAACAATTGATTAATTTCAATAAATGTCAATCAAGTTGTTTGATATAATTTACCGTTAGATGCGTGAGGGGTGGGAGCGGGCAGTCCGTAACTGCGGCCATAGGTATGTTTGCCCGGATTGATGACCATATGTCCGCCGGTGGGCTGTTTGTCATGCCTGGTGTCCATCGAATTGTCAAATATGTGTTGTCTCTGATACTGACAACTGATGCCATTTACGACATACAAGAATATGAGCGCTAAGTTTTGACTAAACATTTGTGGCAAATATTTTATTGCGAATAAGTTTTTATCAAAAAATATTGTATTAAATGTTTGCTATTTTGTGGAAAACATGTTTTTGTTTCAAAATACATAGTTTATATAACATATAGTTTGTAAACATTATGTAATTTTATATCCGTTTAATTGATGATGAAAAACACGAGTGGTAAAAAGTTATAACTAATTAATTATTAAGTACATAAACATTATGTTTAATGTCTGTAACTAAGGTATGGTATTTAATATTGTATTTGGTATTGCTTTATACCATAAACATCGGTTCACCAGAAATATATCGCATTAATTAAGTTATATTAATATAACACTAAACAACAGCTTTATTTAAACAGTAATTATGTAGAAAACACAATAAATTTAATTATTTCTTGGATTCTTATAAAAATTATTATATCGTATATAATGTCAGACACTTTTGGGAAGATTTGTATTTTCCCAATATCTTTACTCTCAAAATATGGGCATTTCCCGGAATATCTAAATTTTGATGGAACTAATGTTTTCATAAATGCTAATTTAGTCCAAATATTTCGCGCCGTTTTTAATTTTGTTCAAAAAATGATTTATAAATTAATTTTAATTAAATCAATTGAATAGATTCAGTTAGAAAAAAATATTAATATACATCGACTGGTCACCGTATTCAGCAAATATCTTTCCTCCTAAAAATATATTCCAGTAGTATATTTGACCAGGGAGACACGTGTCTAAAGTTAATCATAAATGATATAATAATTTTGTTTTTATAAAAGACGATACAATGTATAAGTTTGTTACTCTGGATTAATTGAGTTAATTCTGTAATGCGATTATCATTTCTTATTAAACTACTTATGAATTATATAGGGTTTTTAATGTAAACCAATTCTTATACAGTTGTATATTAATGCCTGAACTCCCAAATTATTTATTAAAATGTTATTTGAAAACATATTTCTTGTGATTTGTCGCTATTTATAGTTAAATAACTTAATTATTAAATTTTTCCTTTTCTATCATATCTAGCAATTAAACTGATTTAAGAAACTGTAGAATAATTGACTAATTTATACATTGATTGATAAATAAATACAACATTTTGATCACTTTATTCAAAAAAGTTTTTATTTTCTGTTAAATAAATATAATTCCGGTTATCATTACATTTGTTTTTGTGGCTCTTATTTGTTAAACAATCAGAAAATTTTAGGAAATATTTTTATTCTTTATTAATATTAAAATTGTTTTTATTAACTATTATTACAAATCAAAGAGTATTATGTATTAAAACATTAGACGACTTAACCATTTATTGGGAAACTAATTATAGTTATCCATAAATATATAGTAAATACAAATTTTGTCCACAAATTAGCGTTTGATTTGATTTCAGTTTTAGTTGTTTTTGTTGAACAGAAAAATACAATTAAATTATTACTCAATAGAATTGATGTCTTGAGTGAAATATACAGTCAATTGTTTAGCAAAAAATATCCAGATTTCCGATTATAAATATCATGATATTCTTTGAAAATATTTATATAACATATAATATGTATATAATTATAATATTAAAACACTTTAATTAATATTAATATTATTGGGTATTAATGTTCGCCATTATTGGGGCGAATGAATCGGCGGATCAATTGGTGGTGAGATTGGCTTTGGAGACAAACTCGTGGAGTATATCTCTGGCCATTTGGAGGTCATTCTTGGCGATGCCGAGCGCCCGGATCACCGACTCCTGGCAATAGCCCTCCGAAATGAGTTGCGAAATGTAGTCCATCTGGAGGTTCACATAACTCACCGAATCGTTCACCGAATCGTTCTCTTTGTTCTCCAGAAGACTCGTTCCCAACGAAAGAATCGGCGAATGAATCCTAAGTTAACATACAATACACATGTAATACATATATAAACCATATGTTATGTATTCAAGACATCGATTCTGACGTTTTGTGTAGAATCAGAATATTCTCGATATTTATTAAATAAACATAAATTTCTTACTTTTGATCAGATTTTGATGATATCGATGATGGAGAAGATGATGAAGAACTGGTTGTCGATAGGGATGAGCTTTGAATCGGTTCTAATTCATTACGTCGAGAGACTATAAATATACCACAAAAAGCAAAACAAAAATTACAATTAAATCTAAATTCAAATCCAATGATCATCAGAGAAAACGGATGCTTACCGTTGAGGTCAGTGTTGGCATAACTGTGTTCTTCAATAAACTCGTTCAATTCAATTGAGCCGAACGTAACGACAGTTGTGTCTGAATTATTTGTACTCAAATGGTTGTGATTAGTCCTCTCGTTGGCGGTCAGAGTGGGCGGCGACGGCGCGACCGGGCATTTGGCGGCCGCGGGCTTCGGCGCCAACGGCTGTTGAGGGGGCGGCGGGTGTCGGGGTATTAGTGGCGACGATATCGTTATATTGGTGGGCGATGTGGACGCCGATTGGGTGACACCAACACCTGTGGCGGTCGTCTGGTTGAGTGGGACCACTGTGTTGATAGCCCCGGGCCACGTCCCGAACTGGGGTGCGGCCAATGTCTGAGCGCTCAAATGACACATCTTTGTACTTCTTTCGTGCGAAACTGTTGTTGTGGTGATCGTAGGCGTGGATCCGATGGGCGGCGGCGTCGACGACGACACCATCGACTTGTGATCGATTCGCGGCCTCAGCGACAAGTCTATCGGATCCAAACACTTGTCCGGACATTTGTCGCCGCCGGCGGTCACAGCTGTCATCGCTTTGATGGGAATAAGTGTGGTTTTGGGGCCGCTCTGGGCCTTCAATTTGGCGGCCAAAGGGTGGATGTGTTTCGGTGACACTCCCGGCGACTGTTGCGGTGTAGTTGTGGGCGACTGGCGTCGGGGCGGTATCGGCGGCGCCGGTATTAACGGTACGGTCGGACACACCATCAGCTTCTGGAGTATTGTCTGCTTTCGCGTGGTTTGTGGCGAACATTGAGGAGAGACTGACTGTTTGGACGAGAAAACAGTTTTTGTTTGATTTTATTTCTTTTGACAGATTTTTGTTTTGGTATCAAATCAAGCGATCAATCAATTGATAGGCATTTCATTTTTGTGTCAGATTTGTGTGGATTATATCACAACTCGTAATACCCTATTGAATGTCTGGCAAAATGCAATTCTTATGTTTTTTGAAATTAATTTATTCGGTGTTAACGTTAATTAACAATAGCTTTGAGTTTTGCATTTTTACGTAAGATTATTATCAGGTATTTACAGATCACTCACTCGGTTGTGATCAGAGATTCTTGGATTGAGTGCCAACGCCTGTAGTGATGACGTCCACGTGTTTGGATCCTATTGATGGAAATGCAGGGATTAAGTGGTGGTGAGATTGGCTTTGGAGACAAACTCGTGGAGTATATCTCTGGCCATTTGGAGGTCATTCTTGGCGATGCCGAGCGCCCGGATCACCGACTCCTGGC